AATTGTCTCCTTCGTTGTCCACAGTAAACAATATTCGACATAAATAGTGGTTGAAGATTCCACAACGGAGCATGCTTTGATATTCTAAGTGAATCGCTCCACACAATTTTTGACTAGTTACCAAGGTTCTCCGACAACGGTTCAAAAAAGGTTGATCACATTCATCCGTGGAGGTTATTGTTAGTGGTTAGCACGTGTCAACAACTACCCCATCCTAGGCCAAGTTTGACCTAAGATGACATTCTCGTATAGTGGCAATCAAGGGCGTATTTTACTCGAGTCCTGGTACCCTAGCCTATTTCCCACCTCGTTGTTATTAGTCGATCGATTTTGGAGGTTTGAGTGGAGGATTTGAGTGAACTACAAGTTTAGAGATTGAATAAAGCTAAAAGTAGGTACCAGGACCAGAATTTGGTGAGTGAGATCATTTCCATTTTGTGGTTATCCACACACCTCCGAGTACGCCTCCCCTAGCCCCATATAAATTCACCTCGATCTTGGCTATCGTATTTGGAGCATTGAGCTCATAGCTCTATTTAATGGATACTATCCACCGTCAACACCAAGGTTTTATCCTGGTTCTATCTAGATATACGACCTATAGCAGGGGTTCGATTGCCTGGACCATCATAGATCCCTATTCATACATCTACCTCAATTTGCTTGATTGCGCATACCCTTCTAATCCTAGAAATCCATACCCAGCGTAGAAGCATAAACTAGGCTAATGGAGAAGATTTGGGCGACTTACCCAAACACAATCAAGGATACAATAGCAATAGAATCAACTAGATAAACACATTAATTCATGAAAACCCTAGTATATCCATCCATCCATACATACATAGTAAACCCTAAAACTAGGGTTTGGGGTTTAGAACCCAAAGTACCTTAGATGACTACTCCATAAAGGAGGGAAGAAGATACATAGAAGAAATTAAAGAAGACTTGAGGTTGAGGAAGATGCCTCCTCTATTCTAGCTCCTTCTCCTTCTCTCTCTTCTCTCTCTCTCTAAAACCAGAAATTATTCTCTCAAAATCAGCTCTCTTAAAAGGGGGAAATGGGTCTTCTATTTATTGACAATCAAGGGACGACATGGGTATCCAAGCAAATTTGACCCGACCAAAGTGACTAAAACCCTATTTTACAGGTTTTCGGAGGGAGCGAGTTTTATATGTTTTAGTAATTGGTGGGTTGTGTCAGGTGTTAATTCGCCCAAAACTCGGTTCAGCCAGGTCAAAGCGAGTTGAATCTTGGGTTGACGAGTTCTAAGTCGGTAGCGAATTTTAACTTTAGTGTTTTTCATTTTGCTTTTTCCTTTTATTTGAGAAAGTCAAATCCATGGATATCCAAACTAATTTGACCCGATCAATGAGAGTTGAACCTACTCAAACCTGCAATCAACCAAAATTTTCATAAAGCCAAAAGAGTACGATTACCTCAAACCCAAAAAAAAGCCAAAAGAGTACAACAATATCGACCCAAATTTTGGATGTTTTATGTTTCAAATTTCGAAACCAAGCCAAACACCGAAATATTTCGTAACTTAAAAGTAGAATTTATGAATTGAAAATACAAAGTTTTCCTTACCAAATATTATTCTTTTTGTATAAAACATAATTTTCTTTCATTTATATCAAAAATAAATTGAAAAATAGTATTATTTAATATGATATAAATCTAACGTGATCTATTTTTTTTATTTTTTTTTATTTTTTAGAATTTGTATTCATATTTTATGTTAGAAATCTTTTTTAGTCATTTTACATTACCTCTTATATTAGAAAGTATTTGTGAGAGTTTTAAAGCTAAACTTTCAACTATTGTTTTTAAATACTTTTTGAAAAGATCCAGAGAAACTACTTAATTCTGTAAAAGTTATAGCAGCATCAACTACTAGCTGTACAAATTAAAACAATAGCATCTTGAAAGAAGTTTAAACATAAATAATCTATTCGACGAACATTCTACCTTATGCAAGTTCATCGACCAAATGCTATTGTAAATAACAAACCTATGAAAACAATGATTAAGAAAATAAGATTACTATCACTTTTAGGTCAACATTAAAACTATTTCTATTTACAATATTTATTTTTCTGCTAAGCGAAGCGATAGCGATCGGGTCTTTGCTAGTATAATATATATATATATATATATATATATATATATATATATATATATATATGGTTCAGGCTAGCATACACTTGACGTACATTGTATGTATAGGTGTCAATCGGGTGGGTTCGGGCTGGGTTCAATCGGGTTCGGGTTCAAACGGGTTGCGGGTTAGTCGGGTTGCGGGTTCATCGGGTTCGGGTTTATCGGGTTCGGGTTCAAACGGGTTGCGGGTTAGTCGGGTTGCGGGTTCATCGGGTTCGGATTCAATCGGGTTGCGGGTTCATCGGGTTTTGGGTCCGGCGGGTTGCGGGCGGGTCGGGTTTCGGGTTGTTCGGGCCAGCGCATCAAGTAACTTAACTCATTACTCATTACCAACTTACACATTTTATTACACTAATTTAAAATATTTTCTCAACTTTTTAACCAATTTATTTCTACCTCGTATATATATACTTTATTTTTTTGAAAAAAACTAGTCAAAATGTTAAATCAATTTGTATGACTTGCAAACTTGTTATGTAATTAATCATAATTGGTAAAGTATTATAGCTAATAGTAATGGTGATATCAATATTTGCAACCAAAAGACACGGTTAATTGTTTATTTGATATTTTAGTATTAATTGAGTAGTAATTGGATTAAAGTATCTCGTTTAGTATAACCATGCAAATCTGGTATTTGGCGTGTGGTATTTGGCAAAAGCATAGTGATAAAATGAGTTATTTCAAAATAACTCATTGCCCAAATAACTTTTGTAAACTGTTGCCAAACGAGTTATATGTAAAATTGTTCGAATTATCCTAAAAATTGAACCATTAAAGATTAGCTATCAAAGTTAGTAAAATTATTGTGACTTCAATCATAACTTACTCAATAGCATATATCCTATACACTTAGCTTTACCCTCAATCAACAATATTAAGTTAGTATATGTTGATGATTGTATACCCTAAACCATCAATATATTATAAACTAACCACATAACCTATACCCTAACCATATGTCCTTGAGTTGTGATTTTGATAGTATAGTTAATTTAAAAGTGAAATTCATACTTTGATTTTCAAAACATAGATAAAAAGTGATATTTATTAATTGTTATACCCTAACCATATATCTTATACTTTACGCCACATACCTTGTACCCTAACCACGTACCATAAACATAAATTAAAAAGGGATCTCCTGCCGTTAAAGACTTAAAATGACTTCAAGTGAACATATGTTAATAAAAAACTTAGAACCATCAAAACCATCAATATCTTATACCCTAACCATATACACTCTAAACCATATGTACCTTATACCTTATACCCTAACCATATACTTTATATCCTAAACAACGAATCGTCAAAGATTACTTATCAAGTTTATTATCAATTGTTGTAACTAATGGTTAATTTATTTATTAGACCATAAAAAATTACATACATATATACATATTAGCCTTCAAAGCATATAAGAATAGCTTTAACTAGTCATGCCCTCCATATAAAAGTTAAAGATTCATATTTCAAAAGCTAAAATTATGAAAAACCAAAAAATTGAAAACACCAAATTTGTTTCCTTCTTTCTTTTCACAAAAATACTAAAATTTCACTCCTTCTTTCTCCTTCCATACATTAGAAAAACTCAATTTTTCCTCATCTTTCTTTTTCATAAAATTGAAAGAACCAAATTACCCTCTTCTTTCCTTCTACAAAAAGTTGAAAAGTCAAAAGTTTCCCTCTTTATTTCTCTTTCATAATCAAAAGAATCAAATTTTCTCACTTCTTTCTCTTCCCACATATCAAAACCACCAAAATTCCCACTTCTTTCTTTTCTAAAAAATTCAAAGAACCAAATTTCCCTCTTCTTTCTCTTCCCAAAAACTTGAATACACAAAAATTTCCCTCTTCTTTTAAAAACATCAAATTACCAAATACATTACTTTACTTTATTTATATTTAATTGATAATTTTATTGAATAGTTAAATTAACCAAAATTTTAATTTATATATCATATTAATATTGTCATGATCTCAAGTGACCTTCATGTTTCAATTTTGTCATTTTCTTAAAATACGTAATATCAAGTGAGTTTCATATTTTTAAAATTTCTCATACGAAATGAAAAAATAATTTTTCTTAAGTTTAGAATGAAAAACTTTATTTTGAAAAACTATGTATTGTATATTTTTATAATTATTCACGTGGATTAGATGAAATTCGGGTTGAGTCGGTCGGGTTACGGGTTAGTCGGGTTCGGGTCAATCGGGTTCGGGTTAATCGGGTTGCGGGTCAGTCGGGTTGCGGGTCAATCGGGTTCGGGTTAGTCGGGTTGCGGGTCAGTCGGGTTGCGGGTCAATCGGGTTCGGGTTAATCGGGTTCGGGTTAATTGGGTTTGCGGTCAATCGGGTTCGGGTTAGTCGGGTTGCGGGTTAGTTGGGTTGCGGGTCAATCGGGTTGCGGGTCGGGCGGGTTACGGGTTGTTGACTTTTAGTCAATTCGGGTTGCGGTCGGGTTGCGGGTCGGATTGATCGGGCGGATTAATCGGGTCGGGCTATGTTTTGACACCTATAATTGTATGCATATGTTCACACTTGTTACTATTTTTAATTAATTACAATTAAATCAATAATTGATCATAATTACAATTACGACAAAATCTATGAATTTAGTTTTCAATACGATTATTTAGTCCCAAATGTTCTTTACCATAGTAAGAATAATGCGGCCTTTCCTATTTTAGCTTCACGTTGGTTCAAAGTGGGTCAATAAGCCCATTACAGTCGAACGATCAAAGCTTAGCAAGACCAGATTCATCTTCTTCTTCCCAGTTGACGCAACAAGTTCTGAAACCTAGACAGAGAAACTTTCATTTGTGAAGTACAGAGCATGAAATTAAACAAAATTGATGACGTGTATCCATCCTCAATCTTCTCTGTTCTCGTTCCTTCGGGGCTGAATAGTCCAAAACCTCAGATACTTAAACTCCAAATCCAAGCCAATCCTCGTTTTCATCCTTCCGACCCGTGCGATTCTACAGCAAGGAATATAGGATTCGGACCAGAGTCTGCAGCTGCGCCCACGATCACGCAGGAATTTCGTACCCCACCAAGAAGGCTTATATCGTCTCTTGACGTCGTTGGTTCAAAGCGTGATGATGGCTTGGAGAGCTTATACTACGTGATTGCGAAACAGAGTACCCACCTAGCATTCACGACAACCTCTACCTCACCCTGCCAGTTAGCGAAAACTTTGGCAACGAAGGGTTCGGGTCTCTGGTTAGAAAGTACAATTGATGCTTGCTACATGGATGCTCACAGCAGGGGAAATGGTTTTCTGGGCGATTAGAGGCGGAGGAGCAGGGAGCTTCAGGATTATATTGTCGTGGAAGGTGAAACTAATCAAATTGTCTCATTAATTGACATTCTTTATTGTTTCCCCATTGAACATTATTAATTGATATCATACCTATCTGTCGCTGCCGCAAACTCACCTCCGACGACCACCACAAACAGGACGAGCAAGACGAGGAGAGTGGCGGCACCGCAACATTGAGATGAACAATCAGCACCATACTGTGCTTTCTTATCGTTAAGATCATCGGCGGCGGCTGGCGGCAGACGAGGATTGTTAGTCGTGGGAAAGCCTATGACGGCGTTGGCGTGTGTCGACTTCTTCTTGGTGTTGGGGCAACAGTGGAGATTTCGGCTAGAGATTTAGGGGGGACTAAAACATAAACAACAATAATTAATGGATGTCGTTGCAATTCTAATTAACATTAATAACTAATGTACTAATAATTAGAGTTAAATGTTAAGTAATTAATTTTCAAGTGTGAACACAGACATATAAGGTACGTCAAGTGTACGCTAGCCTTTGCCATATATATATATATATATATAGAGGATTACCATCCCCATATTTGGGATCTTCCTTTTTTCTAGTTTTTCTTTAATTAAAAATGTACTTATTATCATTTTAATGTAATTTGTTCCTGTTATTTTTTGTATAGTTCATCATCGTTTTTAAATACAAATTTACGATAGAATTTTTTCAAATTCTGAGACAAAATATTTTTGGGCAGAAAATGATTGGCCTAAGTTGGGTTTACACACATAATAGTTCAAATGCAACAACTTAGAGGTTACACACAACACTTGATAATGATAAAGTTTAAAGATTACACACAACATTTGAAAATGATAAAACTTAAAGATTACACATAACACTTGAAATGATAAAGATGAAACACATAACATGTCAATAATCGTCCAGCAGAGAATAGTAATTCCCGTAATCTCCTCATCCATTCTCATCACCTCTCCGGTCTGACTTGCGTTGGATGAATAGTTGGGAACAGAGTTGGGATCATCTTGATCATACCCTAGAAGCATGTTTTGCTTATTTTTGTAACACTTACTCTTTCTTGGTGTTAACTTCGACAAGTCCTTTCCAAGAAGATCAAGGTTGTTCTGAAATAGTGCTGCGTCCCTCTCTCTTTTCTCAAGTTCCCACTTTTGTTCCCTCTCCCTTTTCTCAAGATCCAACTTTTCTTAGTCACACTTCGATTTTTTTCCTTGGAATTCCAGCCTTTTTCGCTCATACTCAGCCCTCGAAGCATGCCTCTCCTTCGAAGGAGCTCACCCGCGCGTGTGCGGCGCACCTCAGAACGCCCAATCCCCATATTTGCCTCCATCGACATTCTCTCCCCCAATTTTTGGGAACCAAATGGCGAAACCCTCCAATTTCTGGTGCCACTCCCCATTTATAGCGCCCCACTAAAGTTCCACTTTCCCCAATTTGATGATGCATTGAAGTCAGCCTAACTAGCTTCTATTTGGACCTATTTGTCGGTTTATTGTTCTTTTGGATATTATTGGGTGTTATTTTGTTAGACATTATTAGTAGGGTACTTATAGGGAATTATCAGATTATAGATTCCGTGAATGATGGATTTTCCGGGTTAAGCAATAACATAACAATTTTTTTAATAAATATAGGTTTACTTTTTTGCGATTAGGTACTATTTAAGTAATTTAAACCTGGAACCTCCAAATTTAACACTAATAATATTACCACTGGACCAAACCCTTGTCAGTAATAACAAAACAATTATTTCCTAAATCTAATCTCTCTCTCACAACCGAAATCCACCTCCTCCCTTCCTTATTGCCGTCGGCCACCAACCTACGCGGGAGGCCAATTTCTTCTTCCCTCAATCCAATCGCTAATTTTATTATGATTATCAATCACTATCAATTCACTAATCTACGAACTTTGGATGGACGCAGCATAGATCTGTAGTTCTTACACATTTTGCATATTTTTGTTGCGTTCAAAATTAAAAAGGATCAGCCTCCTTATAATTGCATAATTGGAAGAAGATACCGTAACTATGTGTGGTAATGCTACGACGAGCATACCATTCATTTTTTTATTCTGTCACCGTACTTCTAAGTTATGTTACAACCTCTTAATTTCTATCAATCAATAATGTAATTGATCAACCAATCCTTGATTGGTGTAGTAAAATCAAAGATTCTAATAAATATTAATAGTAGTTCTCTATTATTTAAATAGGAGCACTTCTACTATGCTCTAAAGTATGAGTGCTTTAATGTACAATTTGAAGTTGTACCATAATGTTAAATGTATAAGTTCAAGTTGTATCATAAAAGAATTTGTACCCTTATATTATGGCACAACTTTACAACTTAAAGTTGTATTATCACATAAATGTACAAGTTCAAGTTGTACCATGAAAGAATTTGTACAAAAAAGTATAGGTACAATCTAAAGTTATACCATAACGTTAAAGGTATAACTTCAAGTTATACCATAAAAGCAAAAATCTATAGCATCAATTCTATATAGCATAGTAAAATTACTCATTTATTTAAATAGTAAAAGTTGTCCTTTTCATTCCTAGTCATAGGTTGTGACATACAAGATTCCATGACCCGAGTCACAAATTGGAAGATTTACTACTACTTGTTATAGTTAAGTTGAGAGTTAGAAGAATTTTACAATACTTTAAAGCATGAATGTTTTAGTTTTTTCTTTTATAGTATAACTTTAAGTTGTATATTTAATTTTACGGTACAATTTTAAATTGTATCTATATTCTTTTGTAAAATTCTTTTATGGTACAGACTAAAGTTGTACATTTATGTTATGGTACGATTTGAAATCGTACAAGTTGTAGCATAACATAAATGTCAAATTCCCTTATGAATTATGATACAACTTCAAGTTGCACTTTAAAGCACCAATATTTTTAAACATAGTAGAAGTACTGCATAAAAAAATTACAAAAATACCGCTTTTCGGGGGAGCGGTTTGGGCGATGTCGACACGAACCGCTGAGTTGTCATGCGGTCATCCCTCGAATGACATCTCCATCTGACAGTTCCGTAAAACATCACGTGGAAATGCGGTTTGCTGGCCGACCTAATTAAAACCGTGCCCTCCAAAGGCGGTTCTCATCGAAACTGCATCTTCCCCATGCGGTTTCCACGAAATGATGGTATTTCTGGAATTTTTCCAAATTGAGTGGTATTTTTATAATTTTTTTAATGATGATATTTCTAGAAAACAAATCCATAATCATAAGTACGCTTCTTCCAAATTTCTCAGCACAATGGCAGGAATTCTTTATAAATATAATATAGCATTCGCATGCATTTGGAATCCTTAATCCTAACATACAATTTGTATCAAAGTGTTACATGCAGAATATGAACAAAGCATTGCTGCCCGTGCCAAGGAAACCTCACCCAGAGACCATACATAGGCATTAATTACACTATTGTTAGATCATCAACACCCTCCGCCGCCACCACCAAAACCGCCTCCTCCGCCGCCACAGTCGCCTCCAGCAGAATCACTGCCAGTGCCACCTACGCCTCTGCCTGTGGTACCAATGTTTATGGCTGTATCCATGGCGAAGGCACCACCCAGACCGGCGGCTCCTCCGACATTAACATTAGCGCCGCCACTGAATCTGGAGTTGGATCGTGGTCTCCCCGTCGGAGGAGTCTTACGTCCCCGGTTGAAGGTACTGAAAAGGACAACGAGAACAAAAATGAAAAACAATAGCGAGCACCAACCGATGATCATGATTCTGAAAGTGTGATCCATCTCTATATGCTATAAATTGATGAGAACTGCTTGCACTGTATTATGTTTTATATACATGCAGCTTACGGTCGTCTCAGTAACGTGCAGCTAGCGGCGACTTTGCACATGAAGAGAATGTCAACCGGCGACCTCAGCCCAAAGTCAATTAAGCCTTAATTCTATATCTTCCTCCGATATATCCCAAACGCGTTTGGAAACTCCGAGTTAGCACGCAAATGAGACAAATTTAGGCGTATCAAATGTTGTATCGCAATATATAAACAGTACTGTTGTGCTACACCCGATTGTATACGGGGAGTTGATAAAGTAAAATTCATATAAAATAATGTTACTTAACACGCATCATATTGATAATAAGTATCAGTAAAAATTAAAACAAATTATACTACGACGTAACTTACTATTTGAACCGCGTGTTACCAACCAATATGAGAAGCATTTGTGGGATGTGGATGATTATGCATTTACTACCACAAAATCAAACTCAAAATAAATTCTAATGATTAATCAAATCGCATGTCAATATTATAGAGCTATGGATTTGGAGGAGGATTTGGCAGCTATCGGTTCCTGAGAGAGTGAGAAGTTTCGTTTGGTTGTCTTTTCAGGGGAAGATCGCCACCAACTTGCTCCGACACCAGCGGAAGGTGGTTGCCTCTCCTCACTGCTTGCAGTGCCCTAGCTCCCCGGAGACGACGCTCCACACTCTCTGCGACTGTGCCCCAGCCTTGTTCTTTTGGTCCAGACACGTGCCGCAGCAGCAACAACACGAGTTTTTCAGCACCAGCCATGATCTTTGGTTCCACAGTAATCTCACGAGTACCACCTCCAGTGCCTCTAGGGTTAATTGGCCAGGTTTCTTCAGCATTGCTATTTGGCTACTGTGGAAAAATCGCACCACAACTGCTTTTAAAGGCCTTGGTGCGGCTCTCACCGCTTTGTCTCTCACACACTCGATTGTGGCTAAAAGTAAGCTGTGGACAGATTTTTGGCTCGTCCCGGAATTGTTCGTTAGCCACAAGAAGCATCGTGCGGAGAGAGTAGTGGCGAACATCGGTTGGGTTCCACCTTCAGAAGGTTGGGTCTTAGTGAACACGGACGGAGCTTCAAATGGTAATCCGGGGTTGGCCGGAGCTGGAGGTGTCATTCGAGATTCGCTGGGCAACTGGTTAGGGGGTTTTGTCGTGAAGATCGGATCAGCTACAGAA